ATGTCCGGTGTCATCTACCATGCCCTCAGTGAGGGATGCGTCATCGCGCGTCAACAGAGGACACGTACACACTTCATTCGCCATGGCCAACACTATCTTCATTGGGCAAGAATTTGCCTCGCTTGATGATGCTCGAAATGCTCTCACAGGCTTCTCCAACAGCCAGGCAGCAACCCACCGCATTAGCAAGAGTGATAAGAGTCGGCTGATTGTGAAGTGCAGGGTGGAGAGCTGTGGATTCTATGCATCGGTTGGGGGCAAAGACGGGGTCTTCCGTGTACGCAATCTTGAAGCCAATCATACTTGTCAGACACATGCTATCAAGCCTCGTGCAGCTACAAGTCGAACTCAGTTCCTTGTTGCCGAGTTGAAGAAGATCATGCCTGTTGATGGCCGAGTCAAGACATCAACCGTGATGGACACCCTTCGACGGCATAACATCAGTGTTAAGCCTCAGCAAGCCTATCGAGCAAAGCGGCCGATTATTGGCAATCACGTTGAGAATCAGCTGAAGGAATTCCAAACCCTCCCAGCTTATGCAGCGCATCTTGCAGCTTGCGACCCCGGAGCAACGATCAAGATTTCACTCGACTCAAAGCATGCCTTCACGTCCTTGTTCATATGCTTGGCTGCTGCAAAGAGTGCATGGTGTTCCGTCCGTCACTTTTTCGCAGTGGATGGTGCATTCACGAAGACATCTTACAAATATGTCCTTCTCATGGCGGTTACACATGATGCGGAAGACAAGCTGCTTGTCCTAGCATGGGCTATTGCATGACAAGAAGATACCCGGACGTGGTCCTCATTCCTCCAATCACTCAAGGAATCTCTCAACGGGCTCGATAGCCCAACAACCACAATCATATCCGATCGGCAGAAGGGCTTGCTCAAAGCCATCTCGGATGAACTTCCGCTCGTTGAACAAGCATTCTGCGTCAAGCACATCATTACGAATGCAGTCCGACACTTTGGCAAACCAGTTGAAGATCACGTCTGGAACCTTGCCAAAGCGCCAACTGAGAAGGAATTCAACAAACACTTCGACGCGGTCCACAATGATCAGAACGTCAAACCCGGGGCAGCACCTTATCTCGCAGTCATTGAACGAGCTGCATGGGCAAGCTATGCATTTATCGAGCCATGCTTTGGTCGACTCACATCAAATGCAGCGGAAGTCATGAATAATGTCTTCCGTGAAACTCGTGAATTACTGGTGCTTAAACTCCTCGACTACATATGGTGTCATCAGATGGCACACCATTACAAGCGCCGGACGTATGCTCTCACTCTGCCATCAACCGATTCCGAGTACGTGGCGAAGCACCTCAAGGTCTTCACCGACAATTGTGTTGCTGCCCGGACTTTTAAAGTGACACCATCAGTTCATCTACAAGCTCTTGTCGAAGGACCAGGTGGAGACAAGTACGATGTGATGTTGGATCCAGAATTGAAGGGGGGAATGTGTTCGTGCCGGTTCTTCCAGCAGTACCTTGTACCATGTGCACATGCAATTGCCGCTTGCTATGAATTCAATCAAGCGCCCGGCAAGTACTTTGACAAGTGCTACCTCAACTCAACGCTGCAAGAAACCTACTAAGTTCCATACCCGATGGTCTTGCTATCTGAGCTAGATCCGGACACCGCACTTGATCTACCTCAGCGAAAGACGCACCGTGGTCGTCCAGCAACTGTGAGGAAAGAGCCAGGAGCGGGTCCCCCTAGACAGACAATGTAATTAGATACATTCCGTGCGCAAGGAATGAAGGGCATTGTGGACGACGCCGGACGAAAAGGGCATTAGAGACGTTTTGCGCGACGCTTCTCTCGATCCCATGAGAGAACCATCATACCCTTTCCTCAGAATCGTTAGCTGCAATTCCCAAATACAACACATAAAATCGCGACTGACCGTTCATGGTACTACACAAAAAGATCAAGATACAATACAGATAAAGCTGGATATGGCCCTTTCCAAATGCATTTGGCCTGTTATGCAGTAACGCATGAGCCAGATGGGCATCCATTCCCCTCTTGGTCGCATATTCGATATCCTCGTCTGTCGTGTGCTCCTTGTGAACGATATCGTGTTTGTCATCGTAGCCGCTCTTGCTGAGCGCTGGTGTGGGAGACATGTCAGTTGAGAGGGAGGACATGATGCCTTCGTTCCTGAGGGATCGGGGCGAGAAGTTCCGCACGTTAGCAGTGGAATTTTATACCAACTAGTACTGCTAGATCTTGTACTGATCGGTCCGGACGGGTGAGTGTTCACGTGTTTTCTGTCCGCTGTGCGATTCATCTCACGACTCCCAAACTCGAAATAGCTCGAAGAACCCTGCCTTGACCCCTTTCTGAAAGACAGTGTCGCCTGCCAGAATCCGAAACGCGGAGCCCCGTGGGGAATATTATCCCATGGGTACTATCGCTAGCATGTGGTTTGTCAAGACAAGTTCGCAGTCATGTCCCGAGCCGAGGGATGGCCTACCTCAGCCGTGCGTCGTTTCTTCTGTTGGTGGACGCGAAACACCGAATCTTTCCCGCTCTGTAATCCAATGGGACATTATCCCGCCGACTGAATGGTCGCCTGATTGAGTACTACATTCTTGGTAAATGAGAAGATTGAATAAAGAAGCAGTGAGGCGTCGCTCCATACGCTCCATTACCATATTGACGAGCAGTCGACCTAAGGTTGTTAACTCGCGACGGTTGACGGAAATCCAACCCACGTTGTGCCGAACGGAAGCAGCCCGTGCCGTTTTATTTTGGCACGCCGGATAATCGGCCCGATATGCGTTTGATTCGGAGATGCGGTGTGAGGTGATGCAACAAGCCAACATGTGACTCTGCTTCTCCAGAGTTGCACGTCGGCATATCGCGAATGGTAAGACGGAGTCGGCGCCGCACACTCGGCTTGACCAGAGCTGTATTTTTGGCATTACGAGTTGGGGGATGCTCCGATGATTGCGGGCTTAAATAGCTTAACCATCAGCCATCGTCATGGACAAGCTTGCAAAGTGTTCCACACAACGCAACGTCACAAAATCCGAATTTCGGGGGTGGTTATATGAAGCTAACTTTTAGGCCTTTGGGTATCTGGACGAAAAAAAACGCGAATCGACCGCCCCTCCAACCAATATTCGGTTTGTCTTCTTACCGAAGGCCCAGAAAGATTTTGGAATAACATTCCTAGGAACAACCTTATGACAGGACAGTCTATCTCCCTCCAAAAATTTAGCCCCCAGTGAGAAGTAATAATGTAATTCATGCTGCCCACCTACCACGTTGCTTTGGCTTAGCGTGATACACAAGGTTCCCATCACGCATGGTCTTTGCCTTCGCACCTTAGCCATATGCAAACTTGGACGTCCTCCATCTGAATGTGGCAAGGTCACATGTCGGGGCAAGTTTCCAGTATTCATAACACGCTTGCATGTGCGACGGATAGGTGTCGAGGGTTGGAAACAGAAACCGCAGCGTTTGTCACCGGCTTTCGTCCGAATCTTATGTTCGTGAGCGTAAAAGTGGTGTGCGAGGGATGCGCGCCTATAATCCCTCATGAGTATGGTCACAGAAAACGATAGCAGAAAGACTGGGAAGCTCGCGGAAATCCAGCAAAGGGAGAGACGACAAAGAGATAAAGCGTGCTGCAGACGCAGCATGCAAGACAGAGAACGCGCGTCCGCGACAGGACTCGATGACACTTTGCTGCCATTGCAGCCCAAGAAGACCGGCAGACGATGATAAAATGGCATACCAGTCCTTGTCCCGCTTTGCCTGAGTTAGACTCTCGTCGACCAGGCAGAATGGACAGCGCCCACTGCGGATAGCGTCGGACTCTTGAATCAGCCGGAGGTGGTATACCGTCACGTTCTCGAACCAGCGCTCAGGGTTTGTCTCAGCGATAAGCGATGCTGGACTCGAATTATGTGTGAAGTCGGCCACGAAATCGATTGCCTCGTGGGCGAGCTCTTCCTCAGTCCCAGACGACAGCTCTGCTTGCCGATACAAACGCGCATGCGATGGGCCGGCTTCTGCTTGGACATCGTCCGCGTCATCGTCAAGGATGTCCAGTGGCCTGATGCGCTGTGCCGGTGAAACTTGAGCCGAAGGAGGGAGCGAGGCTGGTAGAGCGACCGATGCAGCCCGTGTCACCTCATCGTCTTGCAAGGCAGTGACTGCCTGCTTCCGGAACTCACGAGTCATTCTGCGCTTGACTGGTATAAGAATGTGCAATGGATATCACAGAGACAGGCTCACCTCGCCGGCAAGTAGGGATGTCAAGCGCTCCATCATACTGCACCGTGCATTCACCAGAGCGTCCATATCGACATCTTCAGGATGCTATCTGTGATAGTTAGTGCTGTTCAACTAGAAAGCAAATAACGAACCTCTGCTACGGCAGCCTCAAGATTGCCGTACTTGGCTTCTACGGCTTCCATCGACTGGACGTGGCGCTCGATGTAGCGTGAGAGCACCGTATCCTGGCGCAGCGCGAGAAAGGTGGCATCCTTTTGAGCATTCCTGTATGACGGCTGCTCTGTCGTATTATAAGAAATGCCGGCCATCCTCTTGTAAATCTCGGTATGAGGGCTCAAACCGGTTGCTTCGGCCATGGGGTCGTATGGTCGGATCGCCGGCTGATATGTGACTTCAGCCGCGTTGCTATGGACGGTGTGGCCCATAAGGTAGGTGTAGACGTGCTAAAGCATGTCAGATAGTTCGTTTAATTGGAGAGGGCATCAATCGATCCCATGAGAGCAAATACATACCCGAGGGACAAGATCGATCAGTCGTGTGGAATTGGTCCACCGATAGCAATTGATATGTAGGCCTAAACACTTGATTCAGCAAGCGCATGCAGCGACTCGGGATAGACATACCTGGGAAACCAAGCGATGTACCAATTTGGGACAGAGTGCAGCTAAATGACCCGATGGTCATTGGCAACCCTCTGTCCATGACGAAAATTGGCTCGTCCGTCATCTCTGGGTGTATCTGCAACTTGAGTGGCAGGCCGAGGTTCTCGAGCTCTTGGGGATGAGAGAAGAGGTAGGGAATGTCGAGCTCGAAGGCGCCGCGTGCTGCCATCTGGGCGATCAAAGGCGGCATGCCGTCGATGTCAGCCTGCTGGGGACCGAGACTGCGGAATGGGATCGATCGTCTAGAACAAGGGTTATGGTCAAGTACCGTGTGAATTGTGCTGACGCACATCCTGTTGTCCATCTTGCTCGCCGTCCTACTGTGTCGGGCCATGAAGACGGCAGCCACATCAAGTGGCTTGAGCGATACGATCTCCGCGACAAAGTCCTGTGCGAAAGTGTCAGCGAAGGAAGCGATGCCAAGTAAATGAAACGAGAACACACCTTGAATAGGAAACAGCGCGGTGGAGTCATACCACTGTATGACTGGCCCACAAGCGCGCTGGATCCACAGGGGCTAGCCCAGAAGAACATGCCATTGGCTGCGAGGATACAAGCACGCTAGAGTGTGTCAGGAGGCGAGGATATCCGGAGTGCGACAGGCGTACATGGGTATACGAATTCACGAAGAATTCGTGCGTGTTCGCTGCTCGCATCATGGTGGCTCGGAAGTCATCATCGAGGATCGTATACTTGGGCCGATGCTGGATATTGATGACCCCGGACGAGACCTCGCTGCGGATGTACTGAATCGATCATGTCAACGGAAACGGCAACAGAGGCGACAATGACTTGCGTTCCACAGCTGATCCTTCACGGTCTCAGCATCGTCGGAGGCGATATTATCAGGGGCAGTGAGAATGTCACACTTCTGGGGACCGGGATTCTTAAAACCATCGCTGCGCTTCTTTCCCTGTTTCGACTTCTCGCTGGGAAGGGCAGTGCTTGAAGCTCCGTGAGATGGAGCACCTACACATGGACGGCCCATCTCTCAGCGAAGATCCTATCTTCACACTCTCAATCATTACACCCTTGACAGTGGTCAGAAGGAGCCTAACCGAACTTCAGCAGATGGTTGTCTCGAAGGAGCACTGTGCGCACCAGAACGTCCGCAGCAAGTAGCCTGACTATTCCCTGCTGTGCAGGTGACAGTGGCCGGCGTAGAGCGGATGCACTGTTATGATGTTATCGAGTTGTCATTAGATATGTCGGAGTGTTTCTCAGTGCAATGAAGGAACAGTGTGACGAGTATGCTGTCATCTAAGCCATAGCAGTCGACGTATTCAAGATGTATATGAGGGACGCTGGTATGGAAACCACTAAGCTGAGTCACGTGGACGCTCCCCGTCTCGGTTGCTGTCACCCTACTCGCCATATGCTCGGGAGTTGGTCCGCATGGGCTTCTGAAATAATACCCTACTGGGAGAGAGGTTACCATTGAATGATGCGCACCATACAGTCGTCATTAATATGGCTGATGGTGCTCCATTATATGTTGTCCAGCTTGTAAGATAAGAATGTAATTCAGCAGGGTTGCTAATAACTGTTGCTTAAATATACGGCCACAGCAACAAATGTAGCCAGCGTGACGATCCAGCTAACATCCTCCGCAAGCCCAAACCTCAAGCTCACCATCCCCGCAGCAGCAGCGATAGGCATAGTACACAACGCGTCCCTCATCCGGTGATCCATCGACCCCTGTTCCCATATGCTCCAGAGAGCGAGGTCCAGTTGCTCGCACATGATCTCCTGGGTGAAGTTGATGCGCACTCGTTCTTTTGCTCGCTCGGCAAGGGCGGCTTTGTCTGGAGCGGACAAACGGACGACTTGGTCGATCGCTTCGGCCCATTTCTCCGGGTCGGCAGGGCACAACCACCCCGTTCGCTCTGCCTCCGGCTCATCGACTATGCTCTCTATCGGGCCGCCAGTGTTCGTCGCTAATACCGGTACGCCACATGCCATAGCCTCTACAGGGCCGATACCAAAGTGCTCATTGGTCGGCGTGTAGAGCTGAAGCAGGTTCTGTGGGGAAAGGAGGAGGGTGGTGCGCTGTGCGGTCGTAAAGTTGAGGAGGAAGATCACGTCTGTTCCTGAGGGGTCGACGGATGGTGCAGGCGTGGGAAGATCGAACGTTTGGGGAGAGACAATGGCGTAACTGAGCTTGGACTCATCGCACAGCGTGCGAAGGTGAGCAAGTGTGCGGACGTTGTCCTCCAGTCGAGGGTCGTATCCTCCTGCAAGGACGAGTCGTAGGAGAGGGGTGTTGCGCGTCGGCCTGTGGGTAGCGCGGTATTGCGCAAATGCCTCTACGGCTAACGCAATATTTTTCTTCTCCTCGAAACGGTTTGTGCTGAGGATGAAAGGGACATCACTTGCCACAATCGCGCGTTAGCGAGAGTCAAAGAGGAGGGCAAACTAAGCTTACGCGGTGATCTTACGGATAGATCTCGCATCATCCGTATCCTCCAGAGCATCCTGTTGGTATGCAGCTAAGTTGATCCCAGGGTATATTACGCGCGGAGTCTTGGACAGCATCGGGAAGGCTTTCTTGAAGACGCGTGCCGTAAAGAGAGAATTGGCGATAACGAGGTCAGCATTCCCTGACCACTGGATCAGCCGGCTACTAGAACAATGAGGAGGGAACACACCAGTGGTAATCTCCTCGAGCACATTTATAGGCATCCTGTATATGCGCTTTACAATCCCCTCCTTGAGGATCTCCCCGTCCGCATTCGCCGCTTTCCCGCCGCTCAGCAGCTTATCCGGGAAATGACAGTAGAACACCACCCTCCTGAGCAGGAACCATCTTACGAGCGGGGTGACAGTCGACAGCTGGTCGATGAGGAATACATCGGGGGAAGGGATCTGCTGGAGTCCGAAGATTCGCAACACGCTGTGCGGGAGGGTGATGAGCAGGTAGAGATAGAAATAGATGTAGAGTTGACGGAGGATGGCGAAGATTATGCGGAAATGGCCGAGGAGAGAGGCAGGTATGCCTGGATTCACGACTGTTACTTTGAGAGAGCCTAGCGCACGAAGCATCAGTGAGCAGCTCTGCTTGAGTAACGGAAAGGGGGAGAGCACACCATTGGCCGTCTCTTCAAAACAATGCTTCGGGTCATGATGACTCGTGAATATCTCCACTTCATGTCCCTTTCTCTGCAGTCCCAGTGCAGAATCGACGATGAGCCTTTCGGCCCCACCTGTGAACTGTGAGCGTGTTGAGGTCGCGTGCGGGGAGAGGGCGCACCGATGCCCAGGTCTGGGTGGATGATCGCAATCCTCAGTGAGGAGAGACGCTGTGACTTCGCCTTTTTGGCCATTCCGAAGTTGAAAGACATTGTAGGGAAGGCGACCAGCGCGCCAGGGTGTGTACAAGATGAACCGGGGAGGAAAGCCAAGTTCGATTCTACTTAACTCGCCCATCCATCGCCCCGCAGAAGAAACACTGTCGATATCACCACGCACGTGTCATCATTGTACACAGCCCTAGGACCCTAGCCTATTGTTGGACTCCTTGTTCTTCTATTCATTTCTCTGACGCGTGACGAATATCACGAACTATCCTGTTTGGGGTAAACCTGCATACATCGCTCATCACGACGCAGCATCTTTGTCATTGGATATCAACAACAGCACCCACAGTCCACCCATAGATGGGTAAGCGACGAGGGCTTTTTTGGAGGTATAGATAACGGTACAACATGACCGGCATGGGAAGACAGAAATTGAGAGCAAGGCCCTCAGTATTTGTGGGGAAAGAAAGTTGTCCAACGTTCGACAAATCGAACGGTTTTTTGAAATAGGTTTTGAGTAACGGGACCACCCGAAATACTATTCCCTTTGCCTATGGAGGCTGTGGCGTGGCTCGGGGAGCGCATACATGCCGTCCATCCGGTTGGAGATACTGGTCGATCCCCGAAGTTGAGCCAGCTCGTGGCAGGAAGGCAGCAACGGCTCTGGGACCACACCAGACAATTCTTCGCTCCCATTAGGCGTGTTCCTGCTCCCCTCACCGGTTCCGGGTGATCGCAGGATCGAGCCGACACGCGACAGAGCTCGCATCACACTCGGTCGAGCGGAAAGAGAACCAAGGCTATTTTCGAGGGCGAAGAAGGTAGCGACAACGAAGTCCAACATGAGATGGCCTTGCGCAGTGTACTCAAGGTATGGCTGGAAACTGATTCAGCACTCGTGCTACTGCATGCAGTGAAGGTATGCCACTTACTCGGTTGTTCGTTCCGGTTCCATGCGTGTAACGGGCTATTACGTGCCAATCCGGCTTGTCGGCTTCGTGCAACTGAGAAACAAGTTAGTATAGCGGAGATTCAAGATGGACATGACGTACACTAAAATCGTACCCATATCGTCTTTCCCTCCACTCCCATTTCTGTCCTCTTGCATCCGAGAACGAAAATACACTGAGCGAGGAGTCAGTCCATGTCGGGCCATTGCTGTAAGAGCAGAGTTTGCTTACTCCGAGTTGATCAGTCCCTGCTTAAAGAACTTGCGTACTCTGATCGGTTGTTGCTGACCTGGGAACTGAATCGTCATGTCTCTGTCAGCGTCAGATATTGCACAAAGAAGACAAAGCACGTCGCTATCATTTGGTTGCCTGTGGTGCGGACGACGACGGATCCGGATGATACGGCGCGTAGCCACTCCAGAGTCTGCCTTTGTCGCATCATCGGGTACATCCCCATCTGGGGGAGTAGTGGTAAAAGTTGGGACAGGAACGACCAGGGTATGCACCTCAAACCACGGAGGGGCACCATCATGACGATTCAAGAGAGCTGTGTTGCCCAAGTCTGAACTGGAAAGCACGAGCTCGTACGCCAGCGGACGCAATACTTGGTCCTCGATGCTGAGACCCAGTGGATCAAGGCTGCTACGCTGGATGGGATCGGGCTGTGAGCGGGCAACGCGGGAAGAGCCTTGACGGCTCGAGGAGGGGCCAAGTGGTGCTCCTTGGGCAGATTGTTGGGACGGCATGCAGCGCAAAGGGGACGAATGTGCAGCACAAGGAAGTAGATTGCACGAGTAGCTGATGTACAATGCAAGCAAGATGAAGTCAAGATTGTAGAATGTATGCAGGTCTGCTGTCAAGGCAGAAGGTGTTCAAGGTGGGCTGATAGACGAGACACTCCGAGGCTAGTGAGCCGGACGAGTCTTTATATACACATTCGAGAGAAGCCACCCTGAAAGATAGAGTACTGATCGAAGACGATAGTGAGATAACGTGTGCCCCCTGTAACAGACTGGCAGCACAAGCGAGATGAATGTCGCCACAGCGCGTCTACACGCTGCCGACGCGCAGCATCGTCACGGTGGACACGGTCGGGAGTGTGAGAGGAAGGAAGAGAGAAGCGTGAGACGTGGAGCTGCATCATCGCCTGCGTCCACGATGGGTGTGCTCTCTCTCCTTTGCCTGTCGAGGAGGTGCTCGAAAGGAGAGGTTTGCAACGCGACGATGTTGGTGGACGGTATGATGACGTAGCACCAAGTGGTGGCTCTGCTCATTGCGCCCGAATAATCCCGCACTGACGTCACTGAACCCTGACCGACCTCTTCTTTCATACACTTCCGTGCGCCTCGTGTCTGCTTTCTGGACGAGATCAGCAACACAACCGCAATGCAAACTGCAATTCCACACAGTTTCCCCCTTAAGTCCTTGTGCTTGTGCTTTTGGAGGATTCTGACGCGGAAGAATGTGACGTCATAGTGCTGCGGACGGCATCTCTTCACATTCGAGCAATCCCGGTGTTCCAGCGTCGTCGTTTGCTCCATATCACAAGACGACTGAGCTGCCATGGACCGGTTTCGTTGTCTGTTCGTGCTCAATATTGTTAGAATGAGATGAGGGTTACAATGGACGCGAAGCCTTTTTGTCACAATATACAAAGAAAGAGGTCAAGTTGTTCTTGATTATTTCCAAGCATATTAGAGATGACAAACGGAACGAATTGGTCTAGGATCTCATGATCTCCTTTGATGTGACATACTCAAAGAACTTCCGGAATATCGAAGCAGTTCTTTTCCGACCTGTTCGGAGTTTCTGTAATCTAAGCACCAGTAGATGCGCATAGGAACAAGTCTTTCAACGACGACGTCATTCGTAATAACTCATGTCAATTCTCGAATTTAAATGATGAACCCCAGATAGTATAAATCACGTTTGAACGGAACCGGCTAATCTTATCTTCATCAACGGGAGCTTCCCAACTGACGCCTTTGAAGCAAAATAGAAAGCGAGAACCTGTCACCCGGAGGGATACTACCATTCCCACACACCTCCATCGTAGTTCTTCATCTTCGGCCCATCTTCTTCCCTCCTCGCCTCATCCACGATCTTCAAGCATCCACTCGCGCTCTTCTCCACCCCAATAATGGCAGCTGTCCTCATGACAGGATCTGCCCCAGACGCAAATCTCGCCATGTCCGTCGCTACTCCTCCGGGGCTTATCACCACCACGCAAAGCCCCGGATGCTCGTAGTGCAGCTTGCGCATGATATAGTTCGCAGCAGCCTTGCTCGCACCGTAGGGGAGCATTCCCACTGGCATAGGTGCACCTGAGTTGATAGAGCCAGCGCCGGATGAAATGAGCACGAATTTCGGATTTGCAGAACGGAGAAGAAGGTGGGAAGCAGCCTGGAAGAGGACAAGCGGACCCAAGGCATTCACCTACTATGGGTGTCAGTCTACATGCACAGATTCGAAAAGAAAAGAACGCACCCGAAAATGGTCCAGCATCACCTCCTCAGGCACTTCCAACCCAGGACCAAACCACGAACAGATCCCGGCGTTCGCGATTAATACATCTAGCTTCCCTGCGATACGCTCGACCTCGGCAAAGGAACCATCGTTGTCCCCTCGGTCGGCCGAATTCAGCTTGAGAATATGCAGCCTTCCCGTGTGTTTGGCTGCGAGATCATGCAGAGCCGTGGCGGAGGGTGGATTCCGTGCACAGGCGAAGACTATAGTGTCAGGGCGCGTTATGAGCTGGTTAACCAGTTCAAGACCTGGATAAGATCAGTGTATCTTCGTCATGCATTGCATAGCGATGCGCACCTATGCCACGATTGGCACCGGATATTAAGTATACTGAGGGCTGCATGTGAGAAGTTGGGTTGATAGGACTCGCGTTTGCCCAGCCACCCGCCGCATTTTATACCAGCTTGTACAGCCGTTCATGTCATAGGAACGAGACAGATATATTCTAAAGTCAAGCCCTAAGGGAGCACGTAGTGATATATCGAGCATAGGAAACCGAAAAGTGTGGCAATCATGATTTCCCGGACAAGGTGGGCAATTTCCCGATCAAGGTGGACGTCGACTGCAGAGAAGGGGACGATAGGGATGGGTAGGAACCAGAATATATCAAGCTCGGTTCCGGTTCAATTTGGTCAACTGTTTCCAGAAGCGTTACATTCTGAAATGACTGATGATAAAAGGTGTGAGTGACAGGAGTGTTCTCATTTCATACTATGTAGATCTATGGCTTGGCCTTCCACTCGCTGCCACAATCAGCCCATGCAGCATCCTGCGATATCATTCGCCTCCATCTCACCAGGGCAGCACCGTGCCATTGTACGACATGAACCTCGGCCCCTGCTCAGTACGCATCGCACTATCAACAACTCTAAGTACGCATTGTGCGCTCTCCTGAGGGCTGATAAGCGGAATTTTGGCGTACTGCGCGACGACCGAGGCAGAGTGGGCTGACATGTCCGTGTCGACCGCGCCAGGATGAATAGGGATTGTTACTACCCATCATATCGAGTCAGCACCTCGTCATCAGAGGATCGCCCGCTCTCGGTGGGAGAAGCAACATCACCCAGCCCGGGATACTCGTATTCCAGCTTCCTAGTCAACCAATTCACAGCAGCTTTGCTGGTGCCGTAAGCTGCAGATGGCCATGGCCTCACCGTACCAAGCTCAGTGCTCCCAACGATGGAAGATATGACGGCGAATTTGGGGTCTTCGGTGCTGGTACGCAGAAGAGGATAGCATGCTTTGAATAGCGCAAGCGGCCCTAGCACATTTATCTGGAAGGTATGTAGATTAGAATACTGTGTTAACCAGACGGTAGGAACGCGTACCTCGAAGTGCTCCCGCATGCCCTCCAACGGTATTTCAGCAGTGGCAAGGAAGGATCCACTGATTCCCGCATTCGCAATCACCACATCCAGTCTGCCTGTGACCTCCTCCACTTTAGCGATAGCAGCGGCGTTATTCGCTTCATCAGCGGAGGTGAGCTCAACGAGGTGTATCCTGTCAGGGTATTGGACTGCGAGGGCGTTCAGGGCGTTCGCAGAGGATATGCAGCGAGCGCCGGCGAAGACAACTGTGTCGTGCCGAGAGACAAGTTCTGTAACCAGGGCAAGACCTAGGATGCAATAAGGAAACGGTCTAGTAGACGGAGGCGAGACATACCGATACCCCTACTCGCCCTTAGACGAGGTAGACAGTTGGGGTCATGAGCAAACAGTTGGCACTGTGGGTGATAGGCGAGAGAGTATCGCAGCGCTGCTCAGAGGGTTCGCCTGAGAGTACGTGGAACATCGCCGGCTTATAACGTTCCGAACTTCGGTATTCTGACAGGATCGCACTCAATTACCGTTCAAAATCGGTGCCCATTGAAATATCTTTACCAATCCATCCGTAGCGGCGGATGCGTCGGCAAGCATGCATCAATGTATGCAAGCTCCCGAGTTTTCCATGAGCTAGCCGTCGAGAGAACAAGTTCGAAAAACATGAGGGGGTTCGGTGCCAGGGACGGCGTTGATGAGGGTAGGCAATTTGCCGATCAAGGTGGCCAAGAAGGGGATCAAGGGATGGGTAGGATCCGGAATACTCCAACGTCGGCTCCGGCTGTAAACTAGTATCCCGGCCCCCACGCCAGTTACATGAACGTTCTGTTACGTCCAACGACGCATGAAGGTTGCATTTTTACAATATTTGCGAGGTGGAATTCCGTTCTCCCACCCTACTTGGTACTTGGTCCCAGTCTCTGGGGCGAGACATGCGAGGATGAAACGTTGTGTGGTGGCTGCTTCTGGGTAACATGAGTGGTGTTCATTTCACATTGTCTACCTCGCTTTCTCTCCCTACCACAATCCAGAATGCAGCGTCCTTCGTCATGAATCTAATCTACTTCACCAAGGCTGCACCGTCCCGTCATACGACATGAACTTCGGTCCCTGCTCGGTACGCGTCGCGCTATCAATAACCCTCAATATACCTTGTGCGCTCTCCCGAGGGCTGATGAATGGAAGTTTGGCAAACTCTTCGATGACGGAGGCAGAGTGACTCGCCATGTTCGTGTTGACCACACCGGGGTGGATGGGAATTGTCACTACGCATCATATCGAATTAGTACCTAGTCAACGACCGATTACCCCGCCCCCGCTTGGAGAATCAACACCGAAAGGAACTCACCCAGCCCGGGATACTCATATTCCAACTTCCTCGTCAACCAGTTCGCAGCAGCTTTGCTCGTGCCGTAAGCTGCAAAGGGCCATGGCTTCTCCGCGCCAAGCTCGATGCTCCCAAGGAGGGAGGATATGACGGCGAATTTGGGGGTTTCGGTGCTGGCACGAAGCAGAGGGTAGGATGCTTTGAACAGGGCGAGAGGTCCGAGGACGTTTACGGGGATTAGATCGCCCAATTAGGCAAAATAGTGTGACACGGAATACCTCGAAGTGCTCCCGCATGCCCTCCAGCGGTACTTCAGCAGTAGCACAGAGCGCCCCGCTGATTCCCGCATTCGAAATCACCACATCCAGCTTACCCGCGACCTCCTTCACCTTAGCGATGGCAGCGGCGTTATTCTCTTCATCAGCTGAGGTGAGCTCGACAAGGTGTACTTTCTCCGGGTATTTGGTTGCGAGGGCTTGCAAGTCGCTCGCAGAGGACATGGAGCGAGCCCCAGCGAAAACGACCGTCTCGGGGCGAGAGATAAGTTCCGTCACTAGAGCAAGACCTAGACATACTATAAGACGATAGTGTGGTAAAGGGAGAAGGGGACATACCAAGACCCCTGTTCGCGCCTGAGATGAGATAGACGGTTGAGGCCATGACAAAAAGCTTGACTATATGGGCAATTGGAGGGAGAGAGGATTGCAACAACAGTCAGATACTTGAACTTGGGTAAAATACATGGAACATCGGCGGCTTATAACTTCCCCAGCTCGGTATTTCCGTCAGACCATGCCTGGCACTCGCCACGTTCAAAGCAGTGACTCATCACGAAATCTTTCCTGCTCTATAGCGGTGGATTCGTCGCTAAGCCGGAAGTATGCGTCCGTGAGGATTATCCACCAACTCATCCAGAGAAAAAGTTCCAAAAGATCGGCTTTGTTGTACGAGAATAGTGACTTGTGTTCATCCAAGACGCCGGTCGAGATTGCAGTGGAGTCAGGACATGACGACCCGCAAGAGTTGCCGAACATGGATGTCTGATAGTCACAACTACACAGCGTAATCAGAAGAAGATCGATCGTCTGATAGCCAACCCAATCAACGGAAGCTCGAATATACCGGATAATCAACGGCTCCGCGTCCCCTGGTGCAGCGCCTGAGAATATTTGCAGGCGAGTTTCACTCGAAAATCCATTCGCTCACAGCACCGGTTTCCCGATTCACCTCTCAGGCGCACCCACCTTCCTGCCCCCCCCCCCC